CTTCACACAGAGACATTGTGCAGGAGCGGGCACGGCAAGTTGCAACAACCTGCATGTTCCGCCGTCCTCGAGCATACCCTGGTATCGCTCACGATGCTCCTGCTAGAGGGACGACAGACTACGCAGGCCTACTGACGCGCTGCTCGTGCTCCTGCCCACATGCCACGGCCCCTGCCTGCAAGGTCTGGGCCTGCTCTCGCATCGCTGCCTGCTTGTAATTGTATACTGAATACTGCATGTACTGCGATGTACTGCGACAAATCAACGCCCACGAAACAGACAGGGAATGCTGCGCCATGCTAGCCTCCAGGGTGGCTTGTTGCACTTCTTTGTGCTCCTTTACACAGAGACATTATGCAGGAGCGGGCACCACCTGCAAGCTCCGCCGTCCTTGAGCATAGTCTGGTACTGCTCACGCTGCTCCTGTCAGAGGATACTGACGGGCTGCCCGTGCTCCCCACCACTGCCCTGAACTGCCCCAGCCTGGAGGGTCTGCGCATGTGTTCGCATCGTTGCCTGCTCGCGTTTGTATAATTGCGAGGGCACCCCGGAAACCCACGTACTGACTGCACTGCGACAAGTACCTTCCCACGACAAAGATAGTACATACCAGGCCATGAAGCGCCATGCTAGCCTGCAGGGTGGCTTCTTGGACGTCTGTTGGCTCCTTCTCACACAGAGACAAATTGACATCAACTAACAGGAGCATGACACATCGTGGCACTACATTCATGAACCCATGGGGAGGAAGAGACGGTATAGTAGTTGGTACCACACGAGGCGAGTAGCAACTTCTGGACTGTGCATGACTGTGCGATGGAGACTTTTCTAGTTTCCATTTCTTCTGCAGATCTTTTGGACCTTTGGTGAGCGCACGAACGCACCCTAGATCCCAGCTGTATACTTCGAAAGAGCGCCTGCATATGCTTACAATCTGGGCAGGCAGCATGTCCGGAAGCATGGCATCGGTCAGCCGGGACTCGGTTCCGAGTGAATGTGGCGGGGAAGCCCAGCATTGCTGTCCTAAAACCAAAGCCTGCATGGCCCGCTGGGGTCCCGGTTTCGCGTGCTGACGCTGA